GGCTTGGGGTAGGGGGCGTGGCGGGTTTAGGTTGACCGTCTAATACGCTACGCCTGCGAGCTGAAAGGGGCGTAAGCCTTGTGCAACCATGCGAGTACATGTGTATCCTGCGTTTGACCCACCTGGAGTTGCTGCCCTTGCAACAAGGCAGACTGCCTCATCACCGCCTTTGGACCAGGATAGCTATCCTCAATGGTCTCAGCATGTTTATAAACCCGTGGCAAAAACGAAAGAATCCCAGGCAAGCTGGGGTTTGGGCGGGGAGGGGGAGTTGGGGGGAGGAAGACAGTCTGTGGGTGGGCGCCAGGAAAGGATCAACTATGCCCAACAAGCGAAGTTGCCCTTGAATTCGAAGCTCGGAGAGGCTTTACGCTCCATGATCATGATTAGGATTCAATTGGGTGACCCTGGAGCCCTCAGTCAAGGCTTGGTCCAAGCAAGCTTTTGTTCTCAAGCGGAGATGCCTTGTTGCCTCCTGCAAATGTTTAATATTTGCACCTTTGATTCAGGTCGACCCTCAGCCAGAGTAGCCGGCAGTAGATTGAGAGGTGATTGGAAGGGCCAGAAACATTCCAGGACAGGCACAGCGCTGGATAAGGATAAGGATGTGTGTTTGCCTGTGTCAAGCGAGTGCTGATCCCGCTGAACAGCTGCCTGAAAAAGCTGGTGGTTCACAGCCGGAAGCTGCTTCTGTCGATCCTCCACAACATGCTCTCGGGTTTTGTGCCGCGAGATCGCAGATGCATGTTGGGCCTGAACCAACCGCAAATTGGTAGGAGATTGGTCGTGCGTTTCGGAGTCAGTGCCCCTTGGATGAAGCCTTGATTCAATCATGTTAAAACGCAAATCTGGATGTATCCCCCTTTCTTATTCAACGATATCACAAGTCAAGCTGTCACGGTTGCGATGGCAAGCTGTTGCAATGTTTGGGCACAGTGGTGGGCGGGCGGGGTTGTGGGGTTCACCAGAAACATCAACTGAAAACTACATGTCACGTTTTTCCCCGCTCAAAATGAGAGCCCATCACCTTTTGATGTAAATATTTTCCCGACTTCTCGAGGAGCTGCTGGGCACCCTGGAGACAGGCCAGATCTTCGGAAGCTTTGGCCCATCGCTGCTCGGCAAAAAGGACGCCAGTGAGGGAGGAACGCTCGGCCTATCCGCCCCTTTTCCTTGAGCGGTTTTGGTGTGTTTGCCAATTTTATGCACAAACCTATGATGTAGGTGCTTTCCTTGGGATCCCCTGCTTCAGTGTGTGCATGATTGTGGAATTTGGTGACAAAAGGTATGATGAGCATTCTTCGCCTACAACTACAACGGATCCTTATGGATGTGTTTGTGAATCTGGAATCAAGCCCATCCTCATAACTCACCTGTTGTGTGGTATGTGTCTTGCATATCCTTAGCATACAATTAAAAGTATGCATGTCTATGTTAGGCATACAAAATTGTATGCACCTCATGGTTCTATTACAAAATGGACACATGTTTATTTGGCATGGACCTGCGTGTGTCTAGCATGTGCCCGGCTTATGTTTAGCACATGTTTGCAAATTAAGCACACGTCCAAAATCAGACTGGCTAAGTTTTAGTCTATAGCCGGCTTGAATTTGGCACCATGTGAAATGCAGATCTACAGCAGGCAGTGCATGGATCGGATGTGTTTGGTGTATTCCGCGCGTGTGTTCCAATTATGTCGATTATGTTTACAGCTTGTTTCTAATGCAACTCCATTCGACATGTGTTGCATTTGTCTAGCAGCTAGCTGCTTGATCGGTTCTTAACATGTTTAACTCGTTTCTACTAGATGTTCAGTTGCTTGGCTTGACACATTTGTAGCATGTATCTAGTTAATGTCTATGTTGTCTAGACATTGTGTTCCATTCCTAGGGTTGAGTACATGGTTAGCATATTTATCATACGTCTAGCACGCGCGAAGCACATCCCTAGAGTAATGTATGTTGCGTGTTTGAGGAGATAGTCTTACAAATCGTTCGCCACTCATCTACGCAACACCCGCACGCCAACCATAGCAACCGGACCGAGCAAACTAATCGTGTCAAACGCAGCCACACTAGCCACCAACAGCATCGGCAGCGCCAACCACAACAGACGCCTCAGCAAAGCAAGCACAAGGTTCTCAGCATAGGCCAATCACATCAACCACAACGGCCACATCCACCACCAGCTACAACCACCAACCACCACAACACACGCCCACCAAGCCATTTCCGCCTTCAGGCTGAAGCAGCCCTTCTCTGCCCGGGTGGCCTCCAACTTGGCAGAGGTCTTGGTTGCGCGCCCTCAAGACATCCGGCTGCTGCCGCGGAAGGCCAAGTGTTGTGGAACCGAAAGCGCAGAGTCATGGAGAAAAACGTGTAGCCTAGCACATGTTGAAATTGCACGTGCAAGGTACTCCTGCCATTGTGACACATTAGCCAGAAAGTGGTATCCTGAACATCTAGAGAGCGGCCGCTTAGGTGGCCTTACTTACATGTGTGAAGACTCAAACATGTTCGCTTTCCGGCAGGTGCAATGTACGCCGTCGCAATTGTAAGAGCTTGCCCTATTTCAGTTCAGAGATGCGAGTGCTTGACTGAAGGGCTTTCTGACCAAAACGCAATGCTGTGCGTGTTATAATAAGCAACCCCGAATAGGGGTATGTTGCATGGCGTTGTCCTTGAAGCCAATCCCAAGCAAGGTACGGTTTGGGGAAGTGTGTGTGTGTGTGACAGTATGTGGCACAATTTCAATCATCCCTTGACTTGCCGGACATCAAATACATTGTGCCATCTACTTTGTCATTTGGCGCACCCTTCAAAATCGGCATGCCCAGCCGATCGCGCCAAGCGATCGCCAGGTCGTAGAGAAGATCATGGCGAAGCTGGCGACAGATACTGCGGAGCGGCTCAGGAAGTGCTGCGCTTCCCGACTGAATTCCTTCGAGTTCAGCAGCGCCCAAAAGGGACATCTTGATCTTGGTACAGGTTCTACCGATTCTACCACCTAGCTTCATACTTTTGGTAAACCTTTGTAACCATCTTAGAAGCAACAGTCAATGGAATTTGGGCGCTGCTCACGTGCTTGCCCATTCAGGGGGCGCCCGTTTAACGGTGCTCGCTGCACCAAAGGGCAATCATGTGTGTAGCATCCGAAAGAAACCCAAGTATATGGGATGGGATCATTTGTCGGTTCCAGCTGTACAAGTATATAGTAGCATCATCGTCAAAGCCTAGAAGTGATTGATGCATTCAGAAGTACAGATTGCATCAACTTGTGTTTCATAGATCGTTGGGGTTCCGCCAGCTATGCGTTGGGGCACATGCGCCATCATGTCGTGATATTTAGAGCGTGTCGATTGTGCAAAACAAGTTCACTCGTATATGCTTGCTTGTGTCTTGTCATGCCTGTGAGCCAGCAAGTACCGCACTGAAAAAGCTCTATTACAAGAGGCATGGTTGATTGGTATGGCTCTTGCTGAAGCTATAGATCTTATGATCCAATTTAATCGTGTCCAACGGGACTTCGTCTCTGCCAATCTTTGACGAATAAAGGAGTCATGACCCAACATTCCTCAAATGCACTAACGGATTCAGGCGGTGTGGCATGCTCGTATCCAACCTGTCCAGGGGTGTGACCAGTCACCTCCCAGGTCTCGGGACGCATGAACTGGCAGCAGCCACTTCGCCAGATGTCTGCCCGCGGTGCGCTGGGCGCGCCAGGGTTCGCGGCTTCGGGCGCTACACGCGTGCGAGACGCGGCGGAGGATTTGCTTTCGCTGAACTCCCGGGATCTCCAGGCCCACCTAGATGCACACCTCTGGTGACTGTCACAAGTGCAAGGGCCACTCAAAACATGCTGTTTGGTTTGAAAAGAACTTTGAGCTGCATGAAGGGGAAAGGGCTTGCTTCATCATTATTCTTGCTGGCTCGCGCATTGTTGCCATCCAAAGAGAGCAGTCAAGAATCATCTCGGCGGCAGCATGCTGGGATTGAGTGGAACTAGTTTCTTTGGAGGTGCAGAGGCAGAGGCATGTACATACATATATATGTATATACATATATATATATATATACACTATTAAAACTGATATGTTACCAAAAGGTTGTTGCTGGCAGCCTCACCACATCGGCTACAATCAAGAATTGGCAGGTATTTCGGTTACCAGTTGACTTGTGTAGTGTTGCAACTCAAGGTCAGATGTGCAGGGCCAAGCCCGCGGCAACTGACAAGATTGCTGGTAATGATAGCCAGGCAAATGCCACTTCACCTTGCCGGAGTTGTGCGTTATAAGTACAGTCCTGTGTATGAAGTAGATGTGGTTGATTGTGTTTGGGTGGTAAGTCGTGGCTTTCCTGTGGCTGCCCTTGGACAAGCTTTCCTGCCTGCCAAGCAGCCCGGAATCCCTTGTCCGTGTACAGCGTTCTTAGAGTGAGGAGTCGGTCACCGCTCTTGTTAGTTGAAGAGAGGACAGCTGACATGGCCGACAATGATCCAGGCTCCAAGATGTGGTTGCCGCTCCCAGTTGATTGCAGTGAATGACAGAGGAGCAAAAGGGCGCTGACATTTGGGATTCCTGTATTTGAGCTCGCCCCTTCGCATCATGCACAGACACCCGGCCAATCGCTGTGCCCAACCCCCCTTCACCCTACGTCACATGTTGAAATATGCGGCCAACTACGTTTCTTGGCTTGCCTGATTGACCACCTTACATGTTTGGTCAATCTTCATCAACACTTATTTTCCAGTGGCTTTTGACCACTACAGAAATATTCCGTCTTTGGTCAGCCAGCTTAACAGTTGGTTGAGCAAAGTGAAAACATTGCAAGCAGCTGACATCCGATCCAGATGAAGCAACAGATCAGCAAGTATTCAAGGGTGTTGTATCCGTTGCGGGGCGGCGATACCAATGGGCCTAGATTCTTCAAATTGATCGTTGTCCCTTTATTTCAGAAGCTTCGCCTCCCCAATGGCTCCTTTGGTCCTGGCCTTCGTGCCAGGGACGCTGCACCAACTCCAGAGCTTCACTCCTTGGTGGAGGCTGCGGATCGCACGCCAGGGGCTCAACGGGACCTTGGTGCGGTGACTTGGGATTTGTGCATGTGCGTTTTTGTTTGTGTTTACGTAGGGGGACTCCACTTGATCAGCACACATGAATGTCCCTTGTTTAAGCAGTTCCTTCAAGTGGTTTGTCGATCAAAGACTTACAAAAAAAGTTGTGAGAATTCATGCTGTTTGTGGCCTGTGTGCAGCAGTTCCTTCAAATGGTTTGTTGATCAAAGACTTACAAAAAAAGTTGTGAGAATTCATGCTGTTTGTGCCCTGTGTGTTGATGCATTCAATGAACTTAATTAGGGGTTTCCGAAAAGCGACTTGAATCATATTCTAACGGCAAACGTGTGCCGTTGCCGGGACTGTTTTGGGATACTCGATTCTGGCATAGGCGTGTTGAAGTAGAATCCTGCGTGCAAAGCTCGGCTGCGTCACTTGTACCCTTCATGCCTTTTCAGAACTGCCTGAGCTGTCACTCTCCGAAACCTACCTATATCATCGCCAAGCTTCCTATGAGCGGTCAAGCGCACGCAGTGTACTGAACAGAAAGCCCAAGAAACCTGGTTGCATGGGCAACAAAATACCGCCTTTTGTTTGCTGCATGTGGCTGGGGCTTGGCTCAAGTGTTGTTTTTCTCAGTGCTTGTTCAATGGGTTACTGTAGCGTGACATGGAACCTGCTCTTTGGTGAGAGAATGGGTAAGGTGATCGCAAGGACAGCCTTGTCGCCGGATTGTGATGGCCTGGTCCTGAAATGACTAGGAGCTTGGTGGTAGATGGATGACCAGATGATGTTGGATGCTAATGATCGTCATGATAGTGATGACTGCTGAACATGGTGGTGCTGGTGGTGCTGGTGAAACTGTCGGTGGCGGTTGAGCTGGTCAAACTGCTGTTATGACAGTGTGTCAATCGTCATGATGAAGCTGGCGTCAAAAAGGGCATGGTGATAATGATGAGGGTGACGGCGCTGATGACGCGCTTGATGCCACTGCAGGGAATCATCGATGTCAGCTCAGTCTTTGCAAGCCAGCTCCTTTGGTACAGTTTTTGATGAGCGAAGGACAAAGTAGATGCGTGGTGCCAGCGCACGGAAACTGCCAAAAGGCCGCACCTGGCCGCCCCAATTTTTAGCAGCATGAGCCAAAGGGGCTACTGTACATGGACCTGCGCCGTATATGATGTGTACCACACTCAAAGCTTAGCTTTTTCCGCGTTTCATCGTCCACTTGAGCGCCGATCAGCACATGGCTTGGAGGTCAGACACGTGCAGAGCTGGGAGCATGAGCCTGACAAAGGAACCCCCAAGCCCGCATACCCAGAAACGGCTGGCCAGTTCCGGGGGCGCACCAGAGCGTTGGCACATCGCCAATGTGGCAGCGCTTACAACCTTGATGCGCGATAGGTCAGATGCACTTTACCTTGATCATATCCCTTTGCTCACGCATGCCGCCACGCTGCGGCTTTGCGCATGTGCCCGAGTGTTCACTTTCTTGTGAGATGTTATAGCGCATTGGATCATAGATTGAAAGTCCCGGCGTTGCTGCCTGGGTAAGTTTCCAAAAGTGCATTGGGCTGACAGCTGGAGACCAGTCAGGTGGCCAGGGTGCATCAGCTGTAGTGCTGTTCAGCCCTTGGCCAACACATATAGCACCTGTACAGCCTTTTTGCGCGCATGACTGTGCTGCTGTGCTATTTTGAATGAAGTTAAGTTTTTCTCCAGAGATGTTTTGCGCGAGTCCTCTTTCCAAAGGAGGCGTTCAAAAGGCTTCTGTTTGAAGAGCGCGTGCAAGACCTTCTATAGACCTTGCGTGGTCATTGCAGGAAATTCTCACCAGAAGCAGCGAGCATTTGCTACGCTACTTTCATGTTTCCCGCGCAGATTCCTAATATGTGCTAATTATGCTTGACCAGTGTCTGCGGTCACTTGCCGGGATAGTATGTTTTTGAACAACTGGCATTCCGTGTCTCATTATATTTGCGGTTGCTTGCGCGTGATGGATACTCAACAAGGCCGTGGTTGTGCATCAGCGTCGACACGAAGGAGCACAGCAGTTGGTAGCCCAGACGATCCCCGCCCTTGATTGGAGGTTGCACTACATGTCGCTTGCATGCGCGAGTGCAGCGAAGAAACATTCACACTGTGGCTTGACAGCGAAAAGTGGTTAGCGATTAAGTTGCTTACAGCTACCTTCAGCTTAGGTACCGAGCCGAACGAGTCACCTCTCAAAGAGGCCTGCGGGGATGAGCTAGCAGCTAGCACAGAAAACGTTTGTAGTTGTGTTTTGTGCGTGTGCGCGAGTGTCCAGTTTCATGTGGCGCGTGCCTTTTTGCAATTTAGGTTTGTCGTTGTACGTAAACCTGGTTTCTAGCATCTTTGCAACATGCAGCTGATGCATCAAGATGATGGATATGTGTGCATGGCGGGCATTCAAGGATTACGCAGAGATGGTTCATTAACTAAAGTTGAGCCCAAGGCCAACCTGCAAACACCCTTCCAGGCGCTCGCAATCCTGAACGAAGTGCTCGTGGCCGCTTTGATGTGGATTATTTTTGCCGGAGGTGAAGGGTCAAGTGACTATGTGCATTATAGGTTTACTAAGAAACCTCAGTTCTTTGAGATGTTCACATTTGTTGGCCTTATGTGTAGTCATTTGTGCAAGCTGCTGTCGTGAGGAATATGATTGTTGAGGCAAGTGCAGCTACAGTTTGTTTCGACAGAACCTGAAGCATATTCAGGGATGCTTCAGAAACAGCGTGAAGAACCTTTGTTCGCTTATGCAAATTCGTGTTGAAAGACAATCTCCGAGGGTCATTTCTGAAGATGACATGCTCTTTTTTGCCAAGTGTCGTTTCAGTGTCTGCATTCGGTCAATGTCAATCATGCTGCTTTTGGATGATAGCAGAATGTTGGCTAGCCGCAGCTCTAGGCAACAGAGCATGTAAAAGGCACTGGCAGTGAGAAATGTTTCAGCACAGCGGAGCTGTTGCTTCCAACCCGACCTGGTGATATGATCCTTCAGAGCGACTGTGGTGTTTGGACCAAGAGAAGAAGAAACTTCACTTGACTCACTCGCTGATTTACTGGACTTCATACGTTTTGGGAAGACCGGTTTACTGCAAGAAAGGAACTTGCCCCTTTTCTTGACCAATCCACTCAGGAAGTGAGTTAGTTGATCAAGCAATCGGACTTCAAGCCAAGGACCATGTGCAGAGCCTCCTGTCCGATTTGCATCGTGCCACCTACCAAGCATTTCTTCGCGTCGTGGCAGCGTGCGCCACCTTGGATCGCATGTTTAACCGTGCCTATTTAAGCATTGTGCTGTGTTGTGCGCAGGTTGTTGGTCCGAATTCGATTCAGGGGTTAGGCCACGACGTATTGCTTGGTGACAAGCATAGATATGGAACCATGCTTTAATTCTTTCTATCGCTCAGCACATGCACTAAAAACAATGAATATCACAAGCAATCAACTCCAGCTAGGATGCATCAGCTGTACAGCCAGGTATGGGCGATGGAAGAAGACCACCAAAGCTGCTAGGGAGACGCGCAAGAGCGAAGTGCAGGCGCTTTGAGCTCACCTGGGTAAAAATCCTTTGCTTGGGGATCCCTTGTTTCAGGTGGCATGATTGTAAGCAATGCGGTGGTGTCCTTTGTTCGGTCAGTTTGCTTGAACATAGATGCATTCACTGGTTGGTTTGGAAGATTTCTAGCAGCCTGGCATCGAGTTCCAAGTGATTGCCGCCACAGGCCGAGGAGAGGATAAAGAAGCTGGCCATGCGCAAGGCCGCGGTGTTGGTTATGAATCTTGCTACGGGCTGCGCATCACACCAGCTGTGCTGGCTGCGCCCTCTAGGTATTCCCGAAGTTTGTGTCAAAACCCAGGACATCCATCAAACTCAATCATCACATTGATATACACATATGGATACATGGGGGGCAATTATAAATTGCAGGTCTTAAGTTTTGTAAAGGGTGGTCCTAAAGTGTCTACCGCCAAAGGGAAAACCTGCATCGCGAAAGTCCAGCGATTTGGAACGCGAAAGAGCTGCAAAGACAACGACGCGAAAGGAAAACTGAGGGCTGCGAAAGGACAGAAGGCCGGCGAAAGGAATGTTTCTACTCACTTCTATTTTGACCAACACCATGTGCATTCATATGAGGTAACGCACCGGTCTTTGAAGATGAAATCAGTTTGCATGTCCGCGAGATTTCGGCTTCATGGGTTCACTGGAGCACACCTCCGAAGGTGTGTGTCAGTGTGACCTGTGCATTAGCCTTAATAGAGCAAAGGAACTCTGTCTGGGGTACCGATCTTTTCGCTTTTGGAGTCGGGCCCTGGACAGAGTTAGGCTCCTCCAAGGGGAGCTTGAGTTTTGGGCCAGCAATCCCACTCCCTCCCCGTGCTCCTGCAGAGGGAGCACTTGGAGCTGCTGCTCCTGATGGAGGAGGTGCTGGGGAGGTGAAAGGTGGTCCAGACAGAGGCTGGTGAGAGAGAGGAGAGTGAAGAAAGAGAGGGTGAGAAAAAGAGAAAGAGGAGAAAGAAGGAGGAGAAAGAAGGAGGAGAAAAGGGAAACGGAGAAGAAGAGCAAGCGGTCTTGGTCATCTGGCTTTGTTGGTGAGGACATTGCGAAGGAGAAAGAGAGCAGTGGAGGAAAGGAGAAAAAGGAGCGTGGGGAGGCAGGTCCCCACCTTCAGATTTGTGGAGCATCAGGTGTGAAGCAAAAGCCATTAGAGAGTGAGGAGGAATCGGAGGGCAGGAAGCGGAAAGAGAGGAGGACGTCTACATCGCCGGCATCCTCAGCGAACGACAAGGGCAAGAGGCGCGTATGAGCTCATCAAGTGAGGGACATATCCGCAGGTTGATTGCTAGAGGAAAGGGGGTGACAGAGGGGCAGAGAGAAAGAGGAGAGAAAGAGCGTTTGGTGGAAGGTGTACGGGAGGGAGAAAGGTGAGAAGATAGCCGATCTCCACTGAGGAGGCACGCAGGAGGTTACATCGAGGAGGCCCAGCGAAACAGGTGAAGAGAGGCGAGGAAAGAATTAAAGGAAGCCAAAGGCGTGAACAGCAGAGAAGTTTCAAGGAACACTTTTGGACCGGGAAAGGAAAAAAGGAGGAGGCAAGCGTAACGGAGGTCGGCAAAATTGATTCCTCTTAAGGTGGGTGGACGAGCAGCAGCAAAAGCAGCTGCCAAAGCTAAGGCCCGAGCGATGGCTTGGGCGGGGCTGCCCGCCGCGGCTCGGGGAGGGAGCGAACCTCCAGTGTTGAGGGTCAGGCAATAGGCGATGAGGAACGAGAGCTCCTTTGCATGTGCGGCTGGACTGCAAGGCAGCGGTGAGCGAGGATGGTTCAGAAGATGAGGTTGGAGCCCGTCTACGGTTTCAAGCAGCGCGTCAAGCAGGAAGAAGCAAAGTGCTCCCCAAACTGTTTGTTCCGTCCTCCAACACAAGCTTCACGGTGCCATGCCACGGGAGGCGTTCACCCTGGCTTATGCCTCCGATCTGTTGGCTCCTCGAAAGGTGGCTGAGACGCTGGACCTGCAGAAAGGAGGCAAAGGAGGAGAGAAGAAGTGAGGATTGGTGAAGCGGATGAGGAGGTGAATCTTGATGATGGACTTGCTTGGCGTGAGAGTGAGCCTCCTGGCGAAGGGAGGCAGAGGACAGACCGCGTGTTGAGAGAATTGAGAGACTGCCGTGCGTTTCCTATACTCTATCACAAGGTCGAAGGGCGCGGAGCCGGGCGGAGCGTAAGCGCCCAGCATCCGCAGCTGCTCCAGGTTGCGCCACTGTCCCAGCGGGCGCGAGTTGTGAGCGTCGAGGCCGTAGACCTTGTCGTTGAAGGGCGAGAGGGACTTCTTCTCGACGGTCTCCACCGGCGATCTCGCGCGTAGCGGGATTGGACAGGTTCGTACCTCGGCCGGTTTGAACCTGGCGTTTCGTTCCTTCACGTGGTGCCGCTGTATCACCTCCTTGATCGGGTCGAAGATCCAGTAGTCCTCGCCCTTGTGCTCCTGCGTCACTTCCTCGACTTCCGGGAACGTGCCAAGGAACACCTCATTGAAATAGGGCTGATCCGCATTCCTGATGATCTACTGCTCTCCTCACCGGTCCGAAGTTCTGAATCGGCAAGCCGTCCAGATTCATGTTCTCTCTGACAGCATTCACGCTCTGCTCCGTTCGTTGTCGACTCATATTGTCTTCTACTTCGGGCTCCGGCAAGGAACTCGATAGCCTTTCTTCGCTTCCTCCTCGACTGCCAACCTCTTCCTGCTCAATCTCCATCTCCTGCACCATCATCACGTCGGGCTCTCGGAGCACCTCTACGGTATCCTTCCACTCTGACTGGATCGCCATCTGCTTCTCCGCCTTCCACTTCTTCTTCTTCTTCTCCAGCCTCATCGACGACCGCCTCTCCGGTAACATCGCGATAGCCCGGCCGATGAGGATCTCGCGTCAGTCTCTCCTGCATCTCCTCAAATGACTCTGCGACCACCTCCGCGCCTAGCCGCTCCTCGCAGGTGGCCAATCTCGTCTGTTCCTGTGAGGTTCGCCACAGCTCTCCGGATGCTTCCCTCAACTGAAAGCACAGAACCTGGGCCCGTCGGGTTCTGGCTACTTGGCGGCCACTCCCTGTGGGTTTCAAGAACTCCGTCAGCGTCACGCAACATGTTCGCCGCCCTGTGTTGCGGCGCGCTGTTGAAACATGTGAACAACGTCTTCAGCCGCAGTATCGCCACTGGCAGTCAGTGGTACAGCTGCGGTGTGCCAATGTCCGCACATCTGGGTGTATTTCCACACCAGTGAGAACAAAAGGCAAGCCAGAAAGAATCTTTGAGGCCACGCCCGGTCTTTAAAGATGAATTCGGTTCGCGTGTGATTTCGGCTTCATGGGCCACACCCTCCCACCCCAGGGGATTGAAACCCCTGGAGGGGGGGAGGTTTGATTTTGCATTGACGTGTTTATTCCAATTTTTCGGATGTTTTCAGAAAAAGGCAAGAAAGAATCTTATGCTGCGCACCCCCCGCCCCCGTTTTGCTTGATTTGAGCGCGCAGGCTGTTCAGCTTGGAACATTTTTTGCAGTAGATGTAATCACATGTGAGTGGGCTTGCAGACCATGGTGACAAGAAATTAAGTTGACACACAAAATGACAGACGAGCTGAAGACAGGTTGGTTCACTGTATGGATAGGAGTCGCATGTGCTTTGACAGCAGATGAAGGACATCCGACAGGCTTTGAGAATGAGCGCCGATGCTCTTTTTTCTTAGTACTGTCCGATGCTCATTTTTCTTAGTACTGTCATGTAGGTGTCTACATACCCGGTATTAAGGCAGGGGGGGGAAGTCATGAAAAACTTGCTACCACGCAGAGAAGCCACAAGGGGGTGGGGCGGCGCCATATTCATATACACGCGGTTCTGGGCTCAGATTCAGTTGGCCCAACTGAAACATGGCTTTTTCCACCAAAATCAGGGAAACCACCATTTACAAGGCAATGTTCAGGTATATAATGTAAAGATCCCAGTTCTAGTGCCCTTTGGCTGAGAAACCTTGAGCTTTCCCATTTGTGGCAAATCAAAGCCGCAGAAGCCTAGAGAAGTGTCCCAATTTATGATGTCCGTTCCAAGTAAGGTGTTATTTCAAGTAGATTTGTAGTTTTGAACAGAGTTTAGTATTGAATACATTTTCCAAGTTTGTTTTAAGTTCGATTAGAGTTTAAGCAAACAAATCGTTTCCAAATAGGAGGCAAACTACAATCTGGATACAATTTCGGGTAAAACTCAATTAGCCTTTAGCAACACATTACAAACAGGAATGTATTCCCAAAAACCGTTTACGTCGTACAGATTTAATCCGATACGATTGTAAGTCAACTGCGTTTGGTAATAAAACTAGAATAGACTTGCTTCTCAAACACAACTCATATGAGATATGGGTAAACATTTTAGGAACTTCTGCAAGGAAATTCGAAGTAGGATTTGCGTTACTTGCATTATGTCCCTTTTGTATCTTGTTTGACGGTGCTCCAAAGATTGAAATTTCAAGGGATTAGATGTTCAAATTCTAAAACTACCTTGAAGCAGGGATTCTAGAAGTCTTATTTGGATAAGGAATCGTACAAAGGTGAGTAGATGAGCAGACTGCACAGGTAGTCGAAGGGGCGGGGTGGCGGTGTGTGCATATACATTTTATATAAATATAATATATATATATATATATATGGTACCCCCTGCCAGTGTCTTTTCTCTTCTTGGATTTTGTGTCAAAATTAGGGGTGTGCCATATGTGTATATGATACACACGCATGCATACATGGCATTGGTTTTTTTTGAGGTCACACCACCCCTCGTTACACACCCTCGTTACACACCCTCGTTACACCCCTCAGATGAACAAACCCAGTGACGTGACTGCCCTCTTTTTGCCGCAGCTTGGCGTTGAATAGCTGCAATCAAGCTGGAGCTGCGGCGGCGCTTTGCGTACTGTGCTTTGCTTTGCCTCGGCACAGACCTTGCGTACCTCATTACAGACCCAACCCCGGCCCGGGCCAGCGACCCCCCTTTTGCTGCAGCTTGGCTTGCGTTGAATGGCTGCAAGCAAGCTGGTGCTGGGGAGGCGCCCTTTGCGTACTGCGCTTCGCTCTGCCTTGTTACAGACCTCGTTACAGACCCAACCCCGGCCCGGGCCAGCGACCCTGCTTCTTGCCGCAGCTTGGCTTGCGTTGAGTAGCTGCAATCAAGCTGGAGCTGCGGAGGCGTGCTTTGCGTACTGCGCTTCGCTTTGTCTC